GACGTTTCGAACAAAATTTATTGTTCATAATCATATCAATTGTGGTCACACGACTTTGAGATTTGAGTTTTATAGTTATCATTGTCGTCTCCTATTTGTCGTATGGGTAGTCGAATTTTCCAGATATACGGGACAGGTGTTGAATCATTCCTATTCCAGACAGGTATTTGCAGTTGATTCGATAAACAAAGCTTTTGTTATCAATCTCTCCCTATACCCTGTGACATTAGATTTTAAAACTGTCATCCTATCCCATCCTATTGAATGGTTGTGTGTAATTGCATGTAGTGCTATAGCCGAAATATTTTCTAGATTTCTTATCTTATTTGGGTCAACCAATCTAGATTTAGCTAGGTTTTTATGTTCGGCTAGTCTGACTGCCCCTGTACTACTAGTCTGACCTATATATTTGACCTCACAATCATTGCAGGGTATTAGATAAACTAAATTGTTTTGTTTTAAAGGCTCCACAGGACTGATCCTTTAACCGATAAAGCTTGTTTCTAATTGAGTTTGTGGGTTTGAATGCCACTTTTATTCCTGCCTTGTTAAGTATTCTGCGTAAGGCTTCCGAGGTTCCTTCCTTGGATGGAATTACTGTTGATGATTTAGATTCCTTATTGTTGGTGTCGTCATTAATACTATTATTATCACTATTACTATTACCATTATTATTATCATTATTATTGTTATCACTATTATTATTATTTATTTTATTTTTACATTTACTTACATATTTCTTGACTAATTTATCCGGGTAATTATTAAGTTTCAAGGCTTCTTTTATGTGTATCACTTCCTGTCTTAGATTTTCCTTGGTACTACTTAGTTTTTGTGCTCTGTCATTTAAACATTTCACTAATCCTATTTTTACTGACATAGGATGTATTTGTATGTATATATATGTATGCGTCGGTGGCACAGTGGTTAGGACTCTTGCCGACCATCCACATGGTCCGAGGTTCGATCCCCTGCCGACGCACACCTGATATCTATGGTCGGCCTGCAAAATTTGGGCTACCGATATCACATGCTGAGAATTCCATACTTGTACCGAAAATACAGTGTGGAATCAAGCTGTAATCGAAAATAAATAAATATCTATATACTATTGTGCAGCTTGATAATAAATTCATTCAAAAGTGTCTATTTACTGAATATTGTGTTTTTGAAAATCAATTACTCCTTAGCTAAAATGGATATTTAACATTGCAGAATACGATGAAGAATTTATCAAGAAGAATATTCATCATTCAGTAATCCACCCTTTGAAATTTACAATAACAGTAGTAATCACTCGGTGGAACCAATATCGTGGAGTTTCCATTGACTGTAGCATACTGGACCGAAATATTCAGTCTTCATTGGTATGAATCGTAGTACAGCCACCTTGACGATGTTTTCCAATGAATATGTTTTGATTGGTTGATGTTGACTGGAAGTTGAAACAACGATCCGCTTTTTGTCCCATTTGCCAATCGTCAATCGGATGTATCTAAGCCTCCAGTAAGTGATGGTTTTCTTACCGAGAATCAAGCCATGCACCTGTCATTTAAAACACAAAAGGATTAGGTTTGAAAGCTACAACAATCGTCGCTAGTGCAAGTGGCATTGGTTATTGACGGTTGACACTTACACTGCTGGCGAACATGGACCTAATAATAACAGTGTCACAAGACATTAACATGGATGGTGGCGTAAGACGCACTCTGTGCACACTGTTATAAACCACCACAGAACTGGAATGGGTTGTACGAATTTATGCTGAAGTTGTAGAAATCAGACTCATGCAGCATAAAATTGCTTTTTAAAATGCAATGAATAACTTCTAAAGTCTAAATGATTTCAACTTGATGTTCTTTATCAGTTATGTGAAATACTATGGAGTAACATATTGCTTTGTTGAATTCTTTATTCACTCTAGATAGTTGGTATTGAAGAATTCGACATGGACTTCCCTAAGTGCATAGATAATGTCACTAGCACATAGAATCATTTAAATTACCAAATACATATAGAAGAGGGAAATTAGGCAGTTTGTCCTTATTTAGTCAACTAAGTATTTGGTTGACTGTGGTTTGGTCCCACTGAGGGCCCCTTCTCAAATGCTACAATTTAGTTTTACAGGCGACAACTTACATGATCTGCAGTCTTAGAAACATTGACATTTCAAGACCATAGTTACTTTGGTTTTGGTACTTACCAAGTTCATTCATCGGATGTCTACTTCCGCCAAGTAGATCACGAATATTGTAAAATTGATTGTGGAGTATATCGTCCAAAAAGGTAACTATTGTCTAGTATTAATTAATTAAATTTCTTTCCTTTCGTAGGCTGAATAAACTCTAAGTGTGAGTGTACTACTGAGTTATTGTAGATTTTCAGTGCATGCTTCCAAATAAGGTTGTATCCACTAATGTTTCCAATACACCATTCATAAATCAGGTAGAATCATTCTGTTCTTCTTTCTCTTCTTCTTAAGCAAAAGTCATTGCCATATGAACTGTGTTAAATATCTTTAGTAGATATAGTAGATACTTTACACTACCTTCTTTTCTTAGATTTACATGTCATGCATATGACGAAACTATAACTTCTAATCATCTGCTATATATAATGTTCTCGGGAACATTTACCAGCGTGGCTAAACATAGATGTAACAAAAGAAATCAATACTTCACTATTGGTTCACCTATTCCGAGAAGACCAAAAAGCAACTGCGTCGGTGGCACAGTGGTTAGGACTCTCGCCGACCATCCACATGGTCCGAGGTTCGAGCCCACGCCGGCGCACACCTGATATCTATGGTTGGCCTGGAAAATTTGGGCTACCGATATCACATGCTGAGAATTCCATACTTGTACCAAAAATACGGTGTGGAATCAAGCGGTAAAATCAAAAATAAAAAAAAAATAAAAATCATTCTTCACTGTCTACCATGAATCTAATCAACTTATTTCAAGTGATAAACGTTATTCTAGATCCATACATTTGGTTCCCTTGATAAATTTCGATAAAGAAAGGAAGACGAAATTTGCAGTACAAAATGATATCATTCTATTTCACAGGTTCTCATCAGCTGCAGACTACCTGAAATTACAATGGTTATATAGATGATAATAACATACTTTAATGTTCGAGTGGTGGTAGAAAAGAGATACTATAAAATTGACGCATCTAAATGAAAGCATTACAATGTTTTTAGTTTAAGTTTTCATCATTATTCTAGATCGTTTTAGACAGTTGAAACCACGTACATTTGAGAAAAAAAAGGAAGTTTAGCCACTATTGCTATCTTAGCCTGTTATTGGACGTATGAATTGTGTTATGCATTTTGAGTGTAAATACATGCTCCCATTTCTTGTATGTTTGTTTACTGTCCAACGAAATCAAGTTGATTCATTCACCTTTGTAAAAAACAAATCTTCGAATTTTTTAAATTTACCTATGGTCATTCATCGCTTACACAGGGACACACAATGCTATTCATGATCATTTACTGTAAATCTGACGCCTGGTTTAGTTCTGGTACTTAGGCATCTTATTACATGTATATTATTCAAACTTTGTTCGATTAAAATGTTACCCATACACACCGCATTTGAAGTCGTAAGGAGAAATTGGATCTTTCATTTTCTTCATCATAATCAGTCTCCACCTTTTTCTTAAAATTTCATCCATTTCTCAATGAATGTTAAACATTAAAATTCATTCAGACTGTTTTAGACAAGTTGGAATTCTTAAGCTAATGTTGGTTAGCTTTGATCAGAAATTGTGTTTCCTCTTTTGCTGCGGTCATTTTTTTCAGATATTTGTTTATGATTTCTCTACCTACTGAGTAGAACATAGGAATTCAAGCTTCAGCCTGATGTTTTAGTAGTCGTGGTTCTATTTTCACCGGGGGGAGGGGGTTACTAGCTTCAGGCCTACCTGTCGACCAGGCTTACTACCGGTTAAGAGAGGTTAAGGAATACGTCGGCCGTGGATCGGATCACAGAGCGCTCGCGTCGTTAGTGGCTTAACTGTACAACTATCGTTGTCCTTTTAAGCAACTTTTACGTGGATTCAGTACATTCAAACGGAACCGTAGAGTGAAGATCTAACAGAAAAGTGAGTATATATTCGCTCAACCCTTTTATCTCCCACAATATCAAATAATGAATCAAAAAGCAGTAACAATCTTCTATTGCATAGGTAAAATTCAACTCATATTTTCATGATTTATTCGATTATATAAACAGTATAGCAACAGCAATAACAATAAGGATTAGATAAAACTGTACAGACTATGCAAATTTATTCATTTATTTATTGACTTATTGAAGATAATACATATCTCATAATTGTTTTTTCAGTAAAAAAGCAGGTTATTTTAAAAAATTGTAGAGATTGACTAAATGAATAACTTTGGATAGTAAAGTTTATCACCATTTCCGCCAGTACTAGGATCCCTTGTTCAACTTTCAATCGTAGAAGCAGCCAAACGTAGAAATGGAGTAGAATGCATAATTGTCTGATCACCTTCACTTAATCACTGGGTAAATACTTCACATCAGAAGAAGGATTTGCATATACATTAAGGCGGACAGTTAACGTATGATTTATAAATTGTAAATTATATAAATGTTGCTTATTAGAGATATAGTAAAATCCTATTGGTCTGAAATATATGCTGATAACAGAAAGCATAAAAATGGTTGACTTTGTCTCCTTAGGGAAAATAAATACATTTTACTCAACTGTCAATCATTCATTTGTCAAGTGAAAAAAAAGCAAAACCATCGAAAACGTTTTTTAGACTATACATTATGCTACTTATGAGTAGCTAGATTCGTTTTTGTCAAAAAGTATTTATTTTTTGTAAAGAAGCAAGTCAACCTTAATAAAAAATAAGAATATTCCTATGAGACTTCTTTGACTTAAAGAGTAACACAGAAGAGAAAAAGATAAAATAAATGTTGAAAGGTTAAAATTCAAAAAAGCTGAAGTAAATGCGTAGTTTAACAGGTAAATTCCTTTTGTGTGATTTCTGATAAATTTTTCATTAATCCTTCTAAATTGGCCATTTCTTGGTTGAGTTCTTCTGTACTGAAACCTCGCTAAAAATGAAAATGCAGAAAAATTGGAGTACTGTTTCAAATTCTCACTTGTTAGGGAACATTGAAAAATTAATTCAATATTTTTCAAAAGAATGGATACTGAACAAAGAGTACTCATTTCGATAAATTCATCATCAGGCTCTACAGTTATATATACATCATAGTGAATGCATGAATCAGTGTTATGAATAACATTAATGTTTAAATAACATCGAACAAGTTCAGTAGCATCAACATAAAATAAGCTGAATGTCAGAAAAATTAAGAAAGATAATATTACAAGTTCATGAATATATAGTCTTTACTGAAGGCCAGGGCAGTAGTAGTGGCTGGCTGGACTTGCTTCTTTTGCACACAAAGCACTGTTTGTTTGAGACGAAACACAATAGCCTCTGATGTTTGGAGCATGCGGTACCTTGATGTTTTTGGCACTTAATTAGGCACCCGGTAGATTATAGAGAAGGATTCTTCCACTCTGGCTTTGTCGTTATTTGTCAGTAACACAATCCTAGGCGAAATATCACCACACTTTCTTTTGAAAACCGAATATATTCAGATCACAATGTCTAATCCGCATTATATAATACCATAAATCCAGATCGATATAGTGAGCATAAATGGATGTTACTATATACTGCTGGGTGATTGGTATAGAGACTTGAATATCACTGACATCAATCAGTAGTGTTAGTTAACCAGATCGAAGTGATCTAAACAACAAACGACTGTTTCCGTTGTTTGCGCTGAGCTCATCAGCGATACAGCCACTTAAACTAAGTCGAAAGAACCTAATTATCTCAAACCACAAAGTGTTTGATTAGTGAAGATTTCGTAATAAATTTGAAATGAAAACAGTTGCCCCCATTTGTTTGCTGTACATTTGTTACTTTTAATAACTGACATATCCTGCTGTGACTTTCCCTTTCATTAAGGTTGTAAGTAGGTAGTTTGCTAATGATTTGGCTGAGAAAAATACCGGAGATTATGTGCATGAATTCAGCCTCATTCTTTCATGTAGCTTATGTCCTTATATCAGGTATATAAGGTGATGAGACCATATAAAGCAAATAAGAAGACACGATAAGAAGAAATACTTGGTAGAGATTCATGGGACATTACATTAGTTGAATAACAAAAGTTATAAATCCTTTGAACTTATGTCTACTTGAAATGCAAGAAGTTGGAGAAAATGGATACTGGATGTTTCTATTCGTTTCATTAAAGGATAAAGTATCATGGAGACTTTCGTCAATATTCCTATTTATTCCATGTTTTATAAAGTAATTAGACTGCTGTCAAATAGTTTTCGGCGGAGTGTACCTAGAAGCAGAATTCACAATACTCATTTCTCTCTTATACGGACTTATTAGATGAATTCACCTGCTATCTCCGGTGAATAATAATGTCCCAAAAGAGACATGAACCCACCGCCCATTGTTCGAAACGCTAAACCTCTTCCAGTAGACCATTTGGGTTACCTCATGTACAAGTGGTATCAGCTGTCACCTCTCCAAGTCAATTTTCGAATTCCATTGATTCAATGGACCGAAAGCTTAGGGTGCTATTGGCATATTAGTTGCTTGTACTGACGCTCCTACGATGTTTGTGGATCAGCTGCATCTGAATGAGGAGTTCTGAATAGGTCGATATGTGCATAATGGGGTAGAGCGCTAGATACAGTATATCAAATAAATCTTCAGTCATCCTCAAAGCGTCTGTACTATGAGCCCACATGTCAACACTTTCCTAAAACTCCAGCCCAATCAATCAACAGGAGTCCCAAAATTGACTTAGACAAAAACGGTTAAAAATAGTTAGTTTTTAGTTAAGCAACTTTTAAAAAGGAACTATTATATAGATCTGATTTTCCGGAAATACGATACTTATTTTAACGCTGCATGTTTTATTTCCCTCACTTATGACAGATGATAAACTGAAAATTTCCAAATTAGGGCAAAACAGCTGTCCAGCACGCCCGAATTTTCTATTGGCTCTCTAACCGATGTCAGCTCTCGATGAAATCCTATAAACTGTCTTATATTTTCACATAGTAGCGTCGGCGGTATAGCGGTTAGGACGCTTGCCGACCAAGCATATGGTCCGGAGTTCGATCCCCGGCCACAGACGCACTCTCTTTACCTCGCTGAGGCAGAAATAATTCCAGTAAAGAGGAAAGGTTGGGTATGAGGCTAGCAACCCCATCCTGTAAAATAAACACTGCTACAGAAACTCCAAGCCACTAGCTTGAAGCCCTATGTTCCACTGGGAACGTGAAGGTGAAATTTATTTATTATTATGTTTTCACATAAACATCAAACAAGTCATTTTTGAAAAACTGCTTTATAGCTTTGATTATACAGAATTCGACTACTCCTCATATACTTCAGTTTGGAACATATATATTCAGTACCTAACTAGCTATAAGTATTAACTTATGTCATTTTGCACAGGATATTTTTATCTCCATTTATTCAGTTTCCAGAGCGTAGGAATATTTACTACCTTTCTCAAGAGATTTATGTGTTCCACTGGTACGCATCAAACTGTTGGTGGAGTCATTCTTAATTTACTGGCAAGCATAAAAGCTGACCAAAGCCCAGCGAGTGCTACTGAGTGTTTTTATAACTGTTTGTACAAACTCAACAAATTCTTAACCGATACCACTATCTTGATATTATGAAACACACTGAATAAATTCAAAAAAGAAACACTTAAGTTCATATTTATGCAATAAGTTAAACCTAGGCCACTTACCATCATTTCCTGTTCAGATATACTGTCTGGTGTATCAGGAGTTATTTCACGCTTAGTAAATTCTGAAGTGTCCTCTAATTCAGGTGAGAAAGCATTTTGTGCGCAGTGGCAGGAATACTTCCACTGATATTTAGCGTCTTTCTTTTCATTACGCCAGGTGACTGAACTGTACTACTCTTATTTCCCATATTATTTGGTTGATAATCGTCCATATCGTGTATCTGTAGCCTACTAACCTGTTGATCTGATAAATTATATTGCATTAACCTTGCAAATGGTCCTGTTCTGTGCTGTGGCTCTGGTGTCGGTACACGATCCAGTACAAAAGATGCTCCTATATCTTGATTATTTGTATTATTCATATCTATAACTGGTACTTTGTTCGGATAACTGGCATTTTTCTCTGGTGAAAATCCATGATTCGCTGCGCTTGAACCACTCGACTTATTACCTGATAGTTGAAATGAGTAAGAGAAAATAAAAATTCATTTGTAAATATCTTGGATAATGATAATTAATAAGATGACTGAAGATGAGGCAGTAAATCATCGAAGAAGACACTGCGAAGTGGTCGCTCTATGTAATGAATTGGTAGAAATTAGAATTCATGGGTTGGCCATTGGATCGGGTCCCAGTGGCTCAATGGTCTACGAGCTCACCTTGTAATCAGAAGGTCCTGGATTCGAACCCTAGAGATGGGTGCGTACTGATGAAGAGTCCCAAACTAGGACGATGGAAACAGCTGTCCAGTACTCCCGGGTTTTCCAGTGGTTCTCTAACTGATATCAGCTCATGATGAAATCCTCCATGCAATCAAACAAAAATCCTGACAAAACCAATACTTGAAAACTGATAATATAACGAATGTAATATGATGAACATTTTGTCATAAGTTTAGTTCTTAGTTCTTTACGGATGATCTTAATCCCATAGTATATAGTATTCACTTAGTTTAAACATCCGACATCTTGGAAACTGCATAATATCCAGCTAAGATTTGAGGGTACCTAATTTTTCAATGGATAAACTTATGTATGTATTAGAGATACAACAATATCGAAATATTCCAGCCGTATTCTTGCTTTCGATGAATTCAAAACTTAAAGAAAATTACAAGATTCATTCACTTTGTAAATTAACACCAGATAAAAATGCTGAAATATAACTTAACCAAAGGAAATATTAAGTCAAAATACTTAGTAGAAACTTCTGTCAGAATTGAAGTAGATGCATATTTTTATTGTAGAGATCAGTAGATTTCTTACTCAAAGACCATAAATCATTATCCGTCTCGCATTCTGTTACATTTTGTTTCTCATACTGATTCTTTAATGCAAGTACTTGACAAAAATGTTAAAGTGTTAAAGTACTATGCCACCGACGCACCATTACTTAATAAACTGCAAAAACCACATATAATGAGTAAAAACCTTATTATTATTATTTCTTTTTTTATTATTGAACATGCCTCCTAAAACACAATTTTCAAAATGTGTAACCATGCTAACTGAAAAAGAGACTTTAGGCAAAATATAAATAAAAGTATGATTTCTGCAGTTGTCTTCAATAAGATCTCATTTCAGAAAGATGCCGAAATGCAGGGAAACAAATACCACCCGATCCAGATTTCCCCCCCTCCTCCTGTTCACCCGATTTTACAACTTTTATTCTGATATACAAGACCGTGGCCATTCTGGTTTTTAATTGTAGACAGATAGATAGATAAATAGAATCGAGTGTGTTTTGGTCGTTTCGTGGTAGGATAGACAAACGCAGACATCAGCTTCTCAGCTTGATAACATCGTTGCTAAATGATAAGGTTTGCAAACTGAAAAATACTCTCTTCTTTTTTCAGTTCTAATTACTGTACGCTTAATGTGGTATTAATAACTCTACCACTGTGTATTATGTTCAAAAATCTTAAGTAATATGATATTATACTCCACCATAACATATAGATTGTACCGTAACATTAAACGGTAAAATGTCTGCCTAGTTTCGCCTGATTTTAAATGATTCAAGCACACAAGATTTAGCCGTAAGTGCGATTATACTGGATGACCAGTAATCTCTCAGCTGTTGCGGACAATAACGGAGCAGACTAGCTGAATGGTTCAACTGGGAAACTTTCACTGTCATTGTAAACAAAATCTCCGAAACTGATATCTTTATTATTTCATATATTGTGTAGATAGACAACCGAGGTTTCGTGACTAAACCACACAGTCCAAAAAACACAAGTAAATCAAAAATTCAACTCTAAAAGGCCTAGGAGACAAGTTGTGGACTGGGAATAAGCTGTGCTTAATAACTCCTGCAACGCAGAATATAGTCAGTACTTCAGATGTCATATTGGTTTGTATTTTACGTTAATTTAGATGTTCATTTCAACCTTGGTAATTTTGGCATAGTAAATCACTAGTTAACCAAAGGGAAATCATAATGATTGCGTCAATTAAAAATAAATACTTAAAAATAACGAAACAGATGGCTGTTTGGAATAACATACGACGCTACGATCAAAACATCTTAATTGTTTATTGCAAGGTAAGTTTATATTCCGCTTATGCTTTTAGTGTGTATTTTGAGCAATACGACCAAACACTTTTGAGCACAGAGTTTTTATTGTATCCTGTGGAAGATAGTTATCAAACTTACATTAAAATGATTATTTTCACCCACAGAAATTCTCTGAAGGCTTGATCACCATATTCACGGGAAAGTAGGTAGTTTTCGCAGAGGACCACTATCTCATATTAAACCACTGAAGATTGTTAAGAACACAGCAGTTGACCCAGAAATGAAATACATTTTCGCTACCTTCTGGTAACTAATTTTAATTTACTGTTTTAAAAAGTTTGGAGAGTAACTTTAATTTATAGAAATCATTTAGTCTGTATTCTGTATTTAGTGGTTACGCAGAGATCAGCTATTACAGTACTGTGTAACTGTGAAATTCTCCTCTGTAATTTGTACAGTTCCACAGCCAGTTTAAACATTTTCTGATCAGCAAAACCATTTTAGCGATACCAGTATTGGCGCAATTAAGTTATGCAAACCTGCTGAGTACCGAGGTATCACGCTATTCATCAGGTCATAAATGAGGTGAACAGTTAGAGAGGAAGAATGCTAGTAATACAGAAATCTTACTTAGGCTGCTTTGCTGTGATGCATAGTCAGAGCTCAATGCATTATTTCGAGAGGTTATCCCTGTTCCAAGATTTTGACACCTTTCACTTTGATTATCACATAGTATTTGACCTTTACTACCATGATATTTTCTCAGCGGTATTGGTGAAATGTTTGGCTGATCATTTGGGGGATTTACGCTTAACTTTTGACCTATGAAAGAAAAAGGAAAACAATATGCGAACTAATTGAAAGGACCATAAAAGTGATACATTGATTCAAGCTGTTGTAGGTAAAATAACTTCGAAACATCTTTAAAACATCACTCTAACATTTAACACTTCTTTGACTTTGTAGCTCATCATTTTATCTCTCCTTGGAAAAATACTTCCTCATAGAATACACTAGACTGATCATGTCAGACTCATTACTTTTTCTTCTGGTTCAGTGGATGTTCGTGATTTTATTAACCTATACGAATTATAATCTAATTGGTGGATGGTGACTAGCAGTGGAATCCAGGATGCGCATTTCGTCCTATATGGGACTCGTCACCATCCACCAATTAAATTCTAATTAAATGCCCACACATCGTCGAAGCATTTGCATGAGAAGCCAACATGTCAACTTGAGACTGAGCACTTCGTTTCAATCAACTGACGGGAAAATCTAAAATTCAATCTATATGACCCGTTGCACAAGAGTGGGCTCTCATGGCCCAAGTGGTTTAGTGGATAACCCTTTGGTGTTTGAAACTATGGGTACTGGGTTCGAGCCTCGGGGGGAACATCATCACTCCCTAGGAAATGCAGGTACATCCAGTTGACGAGTCCCAAATACGGATTATATTTGCTGAAATGTCTTCTGTCTTCTTTAGTGATAGCTAATTGGGAGCTTACCGTCCTCTACAAATTCTGGGGACTGATAAAACGCTGCTGTCAGATGTCTGCACACAGGCATCATAGTGATCATGAGTGTGAAAAAGTCATGTAGCATCATTTTTATATGGTGCTTACGAAACTGGTATAAACATCGTCAGGTAACTTTACTTTTCAATTGTCTTTGTTTAATATGACTGCAGTGTATAAGAACTTTTATTCAACCATGAAATCGTCATTAGAAGAACAAGCGCCAGTACTAAACTGATGAGAATAAAAATACGAATTCACGATTAGTTTTCGCCACTCAATCACAACAGTCTAATGACTACCATGAGTGTGAACCGAATTGAATATGACATCTGTTATAAATGCCATAACAACCTTACTACACCTCAAAGACATACAATATTAGTTCTTGCCGACATTTCAAGCAAAATTTACCATTCAAACTTTAATACAGTGTTAGCGTACCACTTTCCATAACACCACATGCTATAAAATTATACAATAATCTGGTATGGTGATGGCGAGATAACCTAAAGCAGGCTTTGGTTTGGCGGAGTGTAACTGAGGTAATGGATGTCGAATGAAGGCATGATTAAAATCCAGGCCGTATGCTGTTCGAAACTGGGTCATCGAGGTTTTAGTCCAGTGCTCTACCAACTGGGATACAAGACCCAAAAGTTACTAAGATGGAATCATGAGGTTGCTGTTTCGATGCCTGCTACCACCCAGATTTTCATTCCGCCTTCATTTATCACTGACTTTAATCTGGTAAGTATTCCATTTCTCTTTGACATTTCTCCGAGATATTATTTTTATTAGTACTGATAAACTGCAGAAAATCTGGTGATTGTCTAATCTAAACTTTCAAAATTTCCACATCAATAATATGAATGAAGTTTATTCACACTAATAAACACTATGATTTTATAAATCCGATCACCCTAAATCCCTCTTTCAGTAAATAGCGTGAAAATTAAATTAGAAATAAAATATTCTTGATAACCTACGTGTTCCAAGTCCGTCAAATTTATTATCTGAAATTCTGAAATTCGCATCACGTTTACAGTTCATATTGCCTGTCATCAGTATCAATTTATCATTAGTATCATAATCGTCATCATATTTTCCTATGATCCGATTATATTTTTTAAATTTTAGGCTGGTATTTGTTGGAGACGGTGAAATTTGACTTAAATAACCATGTGTACGTCCAGTAGCACTGCTTCCTGGTGATGATGCTGTCACTTCATCTGTAAGACTACCACTTCCTGTTAACCCATGCTCTCCAGTCATTTTATTCATTTGATTACTTCGAAAATCTCGTGAACGATTAAAATTTGTCTGTAGACTGTTAGCATTATTACAGCATGACATTTGTAAATTAGCCACAGGCGGTAGCATTGGAATAGCTGTGGCAGTTTTGTATCCACCTGGATTCACCATATTTTTCAGTTGTTGCTGTTGTTGTTGTTGACAACAGTGTGTATGACAGTTGACTGGATTTTGAACACCGGTGGCAAGGTATGATAATGTCATTTCATGAGGACTTGATGTTTTTATATTGGCTGATTCTGTACTATCATCTTTAAAATATAAAATAACAAAAAAAGAACAATTCAGCTTTAAGTTAAACATATAAAACAGCATTTTGAAGGCAATAATCGACAAATTTTTAATTTGATGAAAAGTGTATGTGTTGAAGACAATCTTTTAATTTGCCATGGCACATCAGATTTCAGTTACATTTTAAAAAACACTGATAATGCACTTCTGTCCTTCAGTTAAATTGATGTCGGAATTAGAAGAATAATCGATTTCACCTCTGGATGTAGAATTGACCAAAATAAACAAAGGAGTTCTGAAAAGATCTGTCTAAATGAAGCTCAAATTGAATGATAAATCTACGGGCTTTTACAACCAAATGCCCATCAGCCTAAGGATATTATTTACCACCAAGCTTGCTTATCACATCAGGCGAATCCAAGATACTAGGTGTCTGAAAGAAAAACCTACAAACCTCAGAAAAGGGATATATAGAATGGCTTACATAGGAAAACATAGAACCAAAACCCCTTCTTTGAGAAGACATACATAGAAAACTGAAGTTGAAGGGACCTTTTCCAGTAGATGTCTAAAAAAGGATTATCTTCGCTTCCTTAAAGCATGATTTTCTTTATAGTGAGTTTAAGCCTGTTCTTTTGTTATTAATTTGCTGCTTTTAAGTTACGTAAAGAACAAACTTCAGTATATGACGCCTTTTGGCTTTCGTTTATCAGCTCACCCACTATTGGAGGAAGTATGTTATTTATTCATTCCTGCCTGAATGGTTCATTCTCAAGGCCCTCTGTTGCTTACTGTTTCTTGCCATATGATCTTCATTTTAATGACGAAGGCAGCTATTGATTAAGTTCTGCAGCCTGTAGGAAATTATTTTCCTGGCACACCAAGTCTCTAAACCATATGGAAGAACTGTTTTGACGTTAGTGTTGCTTTGCATACCAATTTCAGAGTAATGAACGCCTGTCATACTTTTCCGATCTGCTCATTTATGCAGCCTGTAGTTGAAATGATCCTGTATAGCCAACTGAAAGAAGTGACCTTTTTTTATATTCCTCTCTTTAACAGTGACTAGTGCTTGTCGTCGCTAGTCAGTGTCTTATATTGTTTTTTTAATGTTAAATCGCTTCATGGTAATAGTCATACAGTATACCCACATCCTGTTTGACAAGAGAAATAATGAATCGAATTCCTATAGACTAATTAAAACTTCCGAGTTTCAATTCTGTGATAGATTCATTTTTAAAATGAGAGAACCACTGAATTGTCATACTTATCTCCTTTCTAATGTAAATTCATGACAAAGGGTGACTGAAACTTATGACTGTCACTAGCCCATAGATTGGGGTCTCCATCGTGCATGATTTTCGGCTCCTCCATCTCAATCCCAAGCCGTGTGAACACCATAAGTCATATGTAAATGACAAGTGAGTTACTATTTATATGGAAGGACTATATATAGTTAAGAAACTGAATCGATGATTCTACCAGCTGAGTGCTAATCGCATTTTACAAATGCAGTAGTTTTCTAAGATGAAAGTGTCTATTTTTGACAATCAGTACTAGCACCCCTGGTATAACTGGAATGTTGTATTTCCATATTCATCATAATGCGTATGACGTTCTACAGCATCCCACCAAAGACAAATTAGCTTAAGTGTAACTGAACTACATTGCTTCTCAAAGTAAAGTGAATACGCCGAAAAGTAGTGCACAATGACAAACGTAAGTCAAACACTTGAAGATACCATATAAATAATGAAAGCAATGGGGCAATGAATATTACCTACATTCGAAATTGTGAATAATTTTTATTCCTTTACGTCCTCAGTGGAATATAAGGCTTGAAGCTAGAGCTTTGAAGTTTCGTTAGCAGCGTTGCTTCTTTTTATAGGATACGTCTGCTAGCCTCACGCTCAACCTTCCCTGTTTACCAGTCTTATTACTAGCATAGTGAGGTGGTAAAAGAGTACGTTGGTGGCCGGGGATTGAACCGCAGACCACATGCGTGGCTGACAAGCATTCCAACCTCCAGCCCACCTTAACATAGATTTCGGTGTCTATATCAAAATCATTTGCCGTGGCATTTCCTAACAGGAAAGAAAAATGAAAATTGAGACCTCCGATAATCTTTTTTTCTCATATTTGCTCACTTAAAAAAAACTATATAGTCTAGTGTGTAGTTGAAAATTATGTTGTGGCGTCACAAGAAGGAAAATGCCTTTATATTCGCAGTAATGTCACAAATAATTTTATATTTCAAACCAATGACAGTATGTCTTCGCCTAATGCAGTTAAATAATATCACTCAGAACTGATAAAATATTTATCATATCTAGTTTCAACTGTTAGTACAAACTCACTTGGCCATTGTTTATTCAAACCGAATTTATTACAGCCCGCGTTATTTCTCCACTTCCTTCCATCCTCATGACAGTTAGTCATTTTTATTGAACTGTTACCATCTGGTTCACTTTCTGCTGAAGTAGAGTGTCTATCTTCAAAGTAACCTCCTCCAGCAGGCATACCAATGTTAAATGCACCATTATTTGACAACCAATTCATCGGTGTTGTTGCATCACTCGATGTAACACAATTACACTGATTAGTAGTCAGTAGTGGTACGGTTTCTGTAATCTTTTTCGTATTGCAATCAGAATGTAAACAAGTAGAATTCTGCGTTGGATAATAATTCATACGAATACCTTGATTAATTTGTTCATTTGTAATTGAATGCCCTGTACACACTCCCAAGGAGCCAGGATTTGAACCACCAGCTAAAGTTTCTGCTGGACTGCAACTTCCTAGAACATTTGCATTTAAACATGTATCATTCACATGAAATGATGCATTCTTTTGTAAACACTCATGTCCATGTACAGTGGCTTCATGTTGACGACAATTTGAATATGTAGACAAATTGTACGGTGATCTATTTGATAATCTAAAGAAATAAAGAAGATTTTCATGAACATGATTAAAATATAATCATTACTTGATTGAATGAGGTACAAGTGAAAATTTTTATGATATGTTTAAAGGCATCATTTTCATTAAATACTCTGAATTTCTCAAAGATGTTTTTACAAGAGGGTGGAAGGGTCATCACATAAGCTTTTGTGTTTTGATGGATCCTTTCTACATGCACAAATGTGCACATGCATTCCTATGAACTGATAACCAGATTGATCATGATTGACTGATCAATTGGAGGAGTTAAATTGTTATCTGAGGGTCAGAAAGGTCATCTAAATTGAAAAGAAAACAGTAAATAGTCAAATTTCCTACCAGGAAATAAAACAGTTCGAAGTTAAAAATTTCTACAATTTATGTTTAACAATTGCTAACAAAAGTAGCCTAATATCTATCAGCCTGAGGACAAATTTTGATCACAGTTCATGCAATTTTGTTTATTATATTTTAGACAAAGCAATAAGAAGACGTAAGTTGTCTGAATCGTGCAATGTGTTTGCGCAACACATTTCGAACAGTCTGATCACACACGAACTTGTCATAAGAATATATATGAAATTAATAAAGCGTTGAGAGGTGAGAAAATAAACTTAGATCAAGTTAAAAGGACATATTGAAGGTCAAAATCACAATGAAGATCAAAAAACCAAATAACAGAGGTAATAGTACATCTGCTATGGTATCAAAACAAAGTTTACCAAAGAAGGTTTAGTTTGATGACGAATTGTTGCTTTGGGCATATAAGGTGGTTTAAACTTTCTAATTGCTGGCTAGGGCTTCCACAAACTTTAGGATACGCCCCAAACCCGTTTTATACATAGGTTTAAAAGATGTGTTAACGTCAATTTTATATCCTGTCTCTATAATATGTTTCGAAATAGAGGAGCTAGGTCTCCTGTTCCCACCAATAATGGGTTCTGGGGATTCAGTTTGCTTCTGGGGCCATTTAGATATATACTTTGAAGCTCTTACTTGCCGAGAGGAATGAGTTCTCCCTATGTATGTGTATCCACATGTATATTCAAATTGGTGAATACGGTGGGATGTGACATCATTTTTCGCATGTTCGAAGGGCTTTGATAGATACATTGGCTTCACATTCTCAATTATTATGATCTTAGCTTCATGAAAAGTCTTTTTAACAGCAGCATTCAATCTCTGTCAAGTTGTCAAGCTTCTATGATCACCCGTATACGGTAGCTTTATATATATATCTTCGTGGTGAGTTGAAGAGTGGTTTTTAGTGTTCTGACTACTTTATATCTTCTAATGAAACTGTCTGAATAACTTTTATCAGCCAGAGTTTGCGTCAACATTCTTCTTCATCAAGTGTGTCTTCAGTGCATAATTGTTGGATTCTACTGAGCAGGCACCTTACTAAGGCTCTTTTGTGCTGAGCAGGGCAGAAACTGTGGTAATTAAGATACTGTCCTGTCTATATAGGTTTTCTATTTTTTTCCTTCACGTTCCCAATGGAACATAGGGCTTCAAGCTAGTGGCTTGAAGGTTCTGTAGCAGTGTTTAATTTTACAGGATGGGGTTGCTAGCCTCATGCCTAACCTTTCCTCTTTACCAGAATTATTTCTGGCTCAGTGATGTAAAGGAGTGAGTCGGTCGGGGATCGAACCCCGGACCATGTGCACGGTCGGCAAGTGTCCTAACCGCTATACCACCGACGTAGGTTTCCTATAAATAGAACTTTTTCTTGACCCATCCAGCCGTCGACTAAGCAATCTGTCTAGGGAAAGATTAACAATTATCTTCCTCTTCTACAGATGTAAGTGATATGCTATCCTGAAATTCATTCATTCGATTTAAAATTGAGGTGACAGAACAAAACTCATCACTTATGATTAGAATATCATCCGCATACTTTCAATAAAGTTGCACATTTTTTCCTGTTTCATAACCCATATGACTGGATAAGCTTTTTAAAATATTAAATATTCCCATAGTAAAATTTAGAACAACACATTTAAGCGAACAATATTGTTTTCAATCATTGTTTTCATCAGGCTTTACTCTAACTTAACAAATAAAAATTGAAATATAAACCAAACATGGTGTGTTGTCTATAGGATAATACGATGGTGAATATAAATTGCGCAATTAGTCATAATAGTAGTAATAATAATAATAATAGTTCTGTCAATAATGAGAATCTTTAAATATTCCCATTTTTTATATTAGAACAAGACATATGAGCGAACAAGATTTTTTTCAATTATTATTATTATTATTATTACTATTATTATTATTATTATTTACTCCACAAAATCACCGTCATTGATTAAAAATTTTTTATATATAAATCTATGTAAATTTGAGTAAAGCCTGATGAAGATCTAATTGAAAACAATATCGTTCGCTTATACGTCTTGTTCTAATAATAAGAATGAAACAGTGAGGCGATCTGTGACAACAAAAATAACGATACCCAGCATGATTAAACAAACAAATCTTCATGTAGAAGTAGTCGATAAAGGCTATGAAAAACAAATGAACCGATTAAGTAATGCTAGATTGTAAGGGAAGTAAATGGACACGCTTTCAATGATGTGATTAGATTAAGGGATGATAAGAAAGGGGTTGAAAATATAAACAAGGGGTAGCATAGAAGTCATTAGTTGGTTATGTCTTAATAGGCCAAGGGAGGGATAATGGTTGTACGAACTATTTTGACTGCATAGTTTAGGTCTAATAGTTCGAATGCCTATTGTCTCAGCTGTTTGCTGTGGACAAATACGAAGACTACTTGGGGCATTCGGTGCGACACAATGAATTACCTTGAAACTTCTCGTGACAGTTATGTTGAATGTGCTACTAGACAGCTTAGCCAACATGTTAGTGGACATCTACCATAATGGCATGGCAAAGGTTTATAAAGACAAAAGAAGTCCTTTACATATATATATATATATATATATATATACCTTTGTTACCTAAATCCCGGTTTATTTCCCTGAAGAAGTTCGGACCAGTTCGCCAAACGAATAGTTGGAATTGCGTATTTCAATTTTTCTGAGATTTTATAAATATAATTTTTCCATATGTCTACTTTTCACTCGGTGTTTGTTAGCACTCATCAGCGTGGCATATCTACAATCTTAACTCATGTCTTTTCTGATATTCGGACCAGCATCACCCAGTGCCTCAGACAGCGACGGAATCACTGAGATATTCACCTTATCAACTGATCTCCTATAGGACTGTAACGGATGCTTTGATTGGATAATAGCTAGTAACTATGTGTCATGTTTCTATCCAGTCATTTGGTGCTGACTAAAATCCATCAGTTAAGACTGCAATGTGACAACTATGCTAGGTGGCACACTAACAAAAAATACACCTCATTAAACTGTTGTACACACTCATTACTCAATACTCAACCGATTATCCAATTCGATAGTGAAATGCTGAATACGTTCAAAACTGTTGATAAATGTAACAGTCTGATTCATTTAAGCAAAACACGGACGGTCAGTGGGTTCAGTAAATAACAAAGCTGGACATTTGAACACCCTGATGACTGATAGAATTCAGTCTGCAGCGAAGAAAGGACTAGACACATCACACTAGTTACTAGTGTCCAATCAAAATTCAAACACCCTTTCAATTTTTCCTTTATTCGTTACTCAAGAAACTTTGAATTTCGTCTTTAGGACATCTGGGAGAGTAGGTATCAGTGAGCTGACTGTCTGATATCTTCTTATGAACTTCACGTGATAAATACTTCGAATCAGAAGTCTACCAATATATTTCTGTTGCCTTTAAGTGTCAACTGAGCATACTCTTTTAGTCCTGTTAACTTTACCCCTAACCAATAGTAGTTTTTTTTTTCACTGGAGTGGAGTGGCAACTAAAATACTTCCGTATCCACGTAGACTTCGCATAAAGCAATTCGTTTCATTTATCAGTCTGATCATAAATTAATGATTTCAGCCATGACAGATAAGTCACTATCTTACATTATCTATCCCCCTTATCTTCTGTAAGTTCTACTTTCTTAAGAGTTTTGCCTAATTTAATTATTTAGATGTTTGCATTATTAATTAGTCATTTTACATTTTCATTATCCTTATCCCTGCCTCTGTCAACCATTTGTTTAAGTATTATTACTAATACTAAACTCTGAGTTATTACCGGTGTAATTTACAAAATTCATCAACTACGGTTTTATCATAACCTGCTGTTACTGATGGAATTTTAAAGTATTAGAAATATCGAATGGAAAACCATAGTATTTCCTTGTATATAACAATTCAACCATTCCATATTTGGCATGATTACTGCACGAGCAGATACATGTTGGAATAGTACAAATAGACCCTTGTTTATAGTCTTTGAACAAACAACACCTTATTCTTGATTCTCCTTCTAGCTCTAGTTTTGGCGGTTATGTAATCTGTTTTTATTTTTAAAGCAATTGGTTCCCTTTATGAATTTCGACAAAACAATAAGAAGACGTAGTTTATCTGAAGCGTGTAATGTATTGGCGAAACACATTTCGGAGATTCTGATCACACACATACTTGTCATACACAGTTTTTATATAAGGTAAGAAAGCATGAATAATTACAATACAGGTCAGATTGTGTACAGCTCAAGGTCACAAAATAATGGGTAGGAAGACGCAAAAGGTGTGGGTAAGAAAGATAAAGAGAGGACAAACAAGGCAAAGAAGGGGTTTGAAATTATTCTGAAGTAAATTGGTCCTCTGTTCTAAATTGGATTACCAAGGCAGGTTTAGGGTGATAACAAATAACTTTTGGACGCATAAGACAGGTTTAAGTCTTTCTATAGCTAAGGCTTCAATGAATTTAAGTATGTGACCCAACCTTGTTTTATATATAGGCTTAAAGGCATTGTTAAAATCAACCTTATGACCCGTCTCTATAATATGCTTCGCTATAGATGATGTTGGACATCTATTTCCCGGGTCAATTGTATCTGGCAATTTCATTTGTTGTT